CTCAGACGAGGAGGCATTAGTGGACAGGGATAATAAAACACAACTTGAAGTTGGAGGGAACTAGGGTCTAATGTGCATGTTGAAAATAGTTCAAATCACACACATATTTAGTGTTATCATGGAGCATGACAGATGAGCGCGTCCGTGCATGTCTATCAGTAAGTAGTACTCCCTCCGTAAACAAATATAAGAGCATTTAGATCACTAAAGTAGTAATCTAAACACTCTTATATTAGTTTACGGAGGGAGTATTTCATAAGAAGTGGCCACCGACATAGTGTCATGCAACCCCGTTAGTGAGCCGTCCTTGGCCCTGGTATGCTTCTTGACAACACCGCTAATGTTTTTTTTTTTTGGAAAAAGAAGCCCACCCCTTCCAATTTCATTAACGAAACCACAATGCCTAAAGGGTTACAGCAAGCGCACTACCTAGAAAGAGAAACTAACAACCCACAAAGTACTCCCACCATTTCTTTTTTACTACGTGTATAAAATTAGGTTGAGGTGAAACAGCACAAAGTTTGACCAAATTTATATAAAAAAATATGAACATCTGCAATACTAAAACTATATAGTATGAAAATACATTTCATGGTGCATCTGATAATATTGACTTCATATAGGGAATGTTGATATTAATATAAAGTTAGTCAAACTTTATTAAGCTTGACTTTGACCAAATTTTATATGCAGACTAAAAATAAATGGAGGGAGTACTAATTAAACTACTTATTACATACCAGCGAAGTAAACTCCTCCCACCCACAAGGAGGCTATATAAAGAGCAGCTTTCAAAGGACAGACTACACCTAAGAGCCGAGCAAACCAGGCTGAGCTAGACTACCGAAGCAAACATTTTCGAAAACTTCAGGAGGTTCGCCATCTTGTCAGCTGCCAAGCGGCAGCACACCTGGTCTCCATCCCTGTGCGCCGTGCGGTAAATTTCACTTGCCATCTGTTCGACTAGTCTTACCCCAGCATGAGAAGTTTTTCCTCTCTTGTTTTTCCTGCAAAATAGACAAATACACGATCGAGTTACACATCAATCTCTGCAGAATCATGGGATCATGATTTTTTTTAATATGATATCATTTTTGTATTTCCAGATAGACCAAAACATCGCAGAAATTCCAACCAGGACTAGCCGCCTGACAGGTTTTAGGAAAGTTTTGGACAAATTACCAAAGCAATCATTCAAATTCAAGGAGATCATCTCAAATCAAAAGCACATTTCCATAAACTTCATACGAGTCTGGCAGCAGAACAATAAGAAAATTAATGGTTTGTACTTTCATCCTGTTCAAAAAAAAACACTCTTTCCCAACTTTACAACCCTTTTTCAGTAAATTGTCTTTAGTTCAAAAAGTTTTTCGAGCCAACAGCCTTAGAAACATTTCAATCTTAGCTGGAACTTTTACTTCCACAGGAACTTCTGTGGGTATCCCATATCAGTTCTGATTAGAAACATGTAATGAGATTTGACAGAAATCATTCTATTATTGGTTAACATCCACCTCGGCATATCCTTGCCCCCAAATATTCTAATCTCTTCACATCTACTCCCTCCGTTCCATAATATGAGATGTTTTGTGACTCTAGTGGGACGGCGGAAGTATCTTTCAGGCTATTCCATAGATCCAAAGAGTCTCCAACAGGACTTCTTCTGAAAGTGAAGTTATCCCATCCTTGCTTTATGCTGAAGAAGTCAACAAGGTTCATTGGCTGAGCTTGGACACATCGGAAGGCAAGAACTCCACTCACCAGCGTGATGGCTTGTTTCATTTCTTTTCAGAGAAAAACATTTTTGCCAAATTATGATTTTTACTGTTTTTTTAACAGTGCGTGGTAATCCGTTCAATATTAGTGTGCCAACGACAAGCGGTCCAATATGAGTGTGGTAGCTAGTATGATAAAGCACTAACGACGAGCCCGTTAGCCGTAAACCTCTCACGGTAAAATGGTATTACTACTCGAAGCTCCAGGCAGCCTCTGACTGGGCTCAGCATGCTAATTTATTTTGTTTTTCACAATTAATGGAGACTGGTCGGTGCTCGGTGATGCCCAGCATATCCACGTACGGTCTGCAGCCTTATATTGCAAGGTCCAAATGACTCCCTCTCCGGCTTGTCCGGCAAATCATGCTATAGACAGCCACATGCTGGTCCATAAAGGAAAAGAAGCACGCTGCTAAAAATGGCACCCATCCGGGCTCCCTCCGGTGACAGCTTCCCACTTATCTACGCTGAGATCGACTCGAGTGGATCAGTGATTCCATCCAGCGGGCACCTAAATATTTTTACCACCACGAAATGTTGTTAGCTACAACGAAATTAGTCGATGGTTATATAATCTGGTCATCGTTGTTATTTTCTCACAATATTGTTCTGCGGGGAATCTCACAATTAATGAGACTACCCACCGTGAGAATAACATAGGTGGTTACGTCACACATATCTAAACAAAATAGATGATGTGACAAGTAATTAATGAAGAAAGAGAGGCATTGGTAACATAGCTAGTTACTAACATAGTATGAGTAGCATCGTACATATCAAGACAAGATGAGTCTACAACCTAATAAATAAAGTGTTGCATGTCACCACATATATGTTACTCCCTACTATAGAGGTAGTAACATAGACTAGTAATGTATGCATGTTACTACTCTAAGTTACTCCTAGTTTCAGGACACACCGTCCATCTTATCCTGTCGCTAGAAAGAAATACGCCAGGAAGGGTGGCTCTCATTTGTTTTTTAATGACGGGGCCTACAAGGCGACTAACTACTGCGGACTGATTGTGTTCATTAATTACCTTTCAATGACCAGATGGATATCCCTATCACTGCAACCACGACTCCTAACAACCACCAGATTAATATTTAGAGGATCCCCATCCAACGCCGTGACGTGAAGCCTCTAGCTAACGTTGTACTTTCGGAGGACCATCGCAACAAAAAATATTTGAAAGAAATCCGAATTAACTATTTTTACTGACAAAACAATAGGTGTACATACATTCTATACACTCAAAGTAAAATAACAAAAAAAACAACTTGGTGGTTTATATTTGTGTAAATATGTTTAAAACATGTATAT